AGTTCAATGTCTAGTCTTCGACCACGAACAATGGCTTCAACCCACTTGTCAGTCTTTGGAATTTATTAGGGGAGCAGGCAAAACACCCTAAAAGTAAAATACAGTTTAAAACTATGGTTTGGAATTTCTACTATGAGTCCTTTCAGAACACTTCTAAGAGTACCAAAGCAATTGATCTGCTGTATCACAGATCAAGGTTATAGAATTTAAATACATTTTTAATCAGCTTAAGGTTTATATATCTTTATATATCTTTCATTATATCACAAACAGCAGACCCAGCACCCTTAGCTAGGAGCTTCCCTAGCTATTCGCTGACCCAGTGAGATAAGAATTAATTGGGTTATAATAAGCACACACAAAAGTATAAAAACAGGGAATACATCACACACTGGCATAAGGCAAGGAAGAAAAAAGGGTGTGAGACTGAAAATGAAAAGCCTAAACAACAGCAATGTTTTAAATTTCTTAGACTGGACCTTGTTGGTTTCTGGCTGCTGAAATCTCTATAGTGGTTCACATAAATCACATAAATTATCCTGTTGTAAAAATCCACAGTGCACTTCACAACTGGTGCAGTTTCCAGTCCTCTCCTACTGACACCTCTTTCCCTCCTTCTTTTCCTCCCTCCTTTTCAAGCAGAAGCATAATATTCATTTCCCAGCAGTTTAGACTTTTCTTCCAGAATTGACATAGCATTAACTTGTAAGGCTTCTCTGCCTACTGCAGAGATACGGGGCTGTGCCACCAAAAGTAAGAAGGCAAACAATGTAGAAGGAAAGGTAAACATAGTAAGAGGACCAAAGCAAATATCGTAAAGAACTAGTAGTCACAATGAAAGACCAGGTAATGAAATGACCGGAAGGAGGAAAGCATACTAACCAGTAAACAAGGCCCTTATCTGACCCAGCGCTGATAGGCATATTTTAAAAAAAGAAAAAGAAAAATAGTTCAGAGGAGAGACAACAGTCCTTCACTGGAGAGAGAATTTTCACTGTAATGGCATATTGTGTCTCACGTAAGACATCAACATCACCTTAAGATGCTCTGTGACTGTCTTTTTTTTTTGGCCAGAGATAGGTGATCAAACACATCAGAAAGGGGGAGGGGAATGAGATGCGAGGGGGATTAGTACAAAATAAGCAACCTCCTGATGGCTGACTCCCAAAACCTGAATGTACACGGATCTACACCTGTCTTCTCAGCAATTAGTGTTACATTGTGTAATCTGCAAAGAAACAAAAACAAAACATTGATTTTAATCATGCCAACTCCATCACAAACAGATAGGTAGAATGAAGTATAATAATCACAGTCTTAGGTGATTACAATAAACCTTACAGGGGAAAAAAGTAGAGCAATCCCCTCCATTAATTTACTCTTCTCCCTTAACCTTCATTTACAGCTTTGCAGAAAACGAGACAGCAACGTGAATTTTTTGAAAACCCATTTCCTACCCACCCCACCAAAATGCTGCTTTGACTTTCCTTCTCCTCTTCCCTTATAATATCATCACTTCGGATTTCCCTTCCTCAATTTGTGGATTCCCAGGTGGCTTCCGCCAACAGACAGTATTTTATTTCTGACCCAGGGGAGGAGCTTTGATGTGATGTTTCATTTAAGGCACGAGACGGCCACAATTTTGATTCAAAGAGGACCCGTGCTCCCTTCCAAGCCACCCTTATTATCTGTTGGCTTAAAGTTGTTTGACTTTGCATGATAAGGCTAATTAAACAATGAAAACTACTGTGGTGCTCCAAGTTCAATGTCTAGTCTTCGACCACGAACAATGGCTTCAACCCACTTGTCAGTCTTTGGAATTTATTAGGGGAGCAGGCAAAACACCCTAAAAGTAAAATACAGTTTAAAACTATGGTTTGGAATTTCTACTATGAGTCCTTTCAGAACACTTCTAAGAGTACCAAAGCAATTGATCTGCTGTATCACAGATCAAGGTTATAGAATTTAAATACATTTTTAATCAGCTTAAGGTTTATATATCTTTATATATCTTTCATTATATCACAAACAGCAGACCCAGCACCCTTAGCTAGGAGCTTCCCTAGCTATTCGCTGACCCAGTGAGATAAGAATTAATTGGGTTATAATAAGCACACACAAAAGTATAAAAACAGGGAATACATCACACACTGGCATAAGGCAAGGAAGAAAAAAGGGTGTGAGACTGAAAATGAAAAGCCAGGCAAAAGTCATTAAAGGAGCGGAAGAGGTAATGATGCGGGACCAGAAAATTAACAATGGATTTTGCTTAGACTTTGAACTGACTTGGCTGGATGAGCTGTGGGCAGGTGACCTTGGTTGCTGAAGAAAGAGCTTTTAAAATAGATGGGAACTTGATTTTCTCTTTTAATGGTGGGCTTATCTGGCTGGATGTCCCAATGGGCTGAGTACTTGGTTATTTATTTATTTATTTATTTATTTATTTATTTATTTATTTATTTATTTATTTATTTATTTAATATGCTGCCCACTCTACCCAAAGGTCTCTGGGTGGTTTACAACAATTAAAATTCAATACAATAAAATATAAAATGATTAAAATGCAATTAAAATACGATTAAAATACAATTAAAATTGCCATCATCAAGACCCACAGTTGATGTTATTTCAATTAAAAGCCTTCTGGAACAGGAAGGTTTTGACCTGGTGCCGAAATATCATCAGTGTCGGCGCCAGACGAATTTCAGTCGGTTAGAGAGGTGTGTTACCTAGTGACTGAACATGGTACTGCAGTCTACCAGCAGATTTTTAAAAAATTATTATTTACAATTAATTGATCACTTTTTAAAAACCCTGAAAAGGGTCATCATAAATCAAAACTAACTTGACAGTAAATTACTACTACTATTACCACCATCATCATAATCATCAAATAACTTCAAGATGTCCATATTTTTTGTCCCACCAACATCCATGCCATGTTACTCGGAGCTATTGCAGAGAGACACAAACATAAATATGATTCCAATTCTTACTACTACCACTGTTGCTGTTTCTATTACTATTACTGTGTGTGGGGTGAACAAAAAGAGGAGGCAGAGTTTGGGACTTCGATTCCCCCTGTGCCAACTTGGGAGAAACGCCAGCCTGTGTAACCTTGGGCAAGCTGCACAGTCTCAGAGCACCCCAAAAGAAGGGAGTGGTAAACTATCTCTGAGTGCTCTATACCTATAACACCCTGAAAAGGGTTGTCATAAGACAGAGAGTACTTGACAGCATGCAATTACTATTTTTAATTCTGCGATTTAAATTTGTTATGTTTTTGCCAAATTGTATCTGTTCTGTTTTACTATGAACCACCTTGAACCCCGTTTTTGAGAGAAAAGCATGAGATAAATCAAATCAGGTATTCTGTACAACAATATCTGTGCAGATTTCCTATGCTACACATTAAATCTTCCTCTACCATGTTTCTGCTGTCTGGGAATTAGAATCCTGGAGACGTTAGTTCATTGATAGGTTTTGAAATGTCCAGCATTGCACGTACGAAAACTTTCTGAGTATTGCCATATATTTCTTCCTCTTTCTTCTTTGTTTTGTGGTCACCGGCAGTTCAAAAAAAGGAAACAAGAGTGGGTTTCCCACAAAGCCTTGTACAATCTCCTAATGAAGACAAGGGGCATCTGCTACTTTTCTAAGTGCTCCAAGGCACTTCTCGCCATTGAACTGAATGGGTTAGGGTTCTTGAGCTTTGTGGAGGTCCCCACAGGCATCTATCCCAGTTTTCAGGATCATAAGGAAAGGCAAGCTGCACGTAACGTTTACAGATCTTAAAAACAGAGAAGGCAAAATCTGAATGAAAAGAAACACCGATGGCACAATGGTAAATTTGGAGGTGCAGGAGCTCATTATGAGAGTCCCAAATGCAAACAGCTGGATCATTTGGTCTCCGCCAATGAATAAGAAGTCTTCTATAAAGCTAATGGCTGTTGATTGCCTTTTTAGCATAAATCACCCTCAAATATTTTGTGTTAGAGCACAATTAGTTTTCTACAATATACTGTTCCTGGGAAAATCCATTCCTTTCTCAGCTATTGTCCTAAGCCCATAGGAAACAGGAAACTCCAAGAGGGACAATGAATGATAGTATAGACCCTGTTAATCAGAGACTTCCACGTTGAGGTTTTACAAGTCACAGGTTCAAAGCACCTGTCATGAAAGCACAGTCATTAATCCAAGACTGGCTGCAATTCTCAAACAAGTGTTTAAAAGAGATGGGGAGATTTTGCTTTTACAAACTGGAACACATTCAGAGGAGGATGACAAGGATGATGATCAGGAGATGGGGAGATTTTGCTTTTACAAGCTGGAACACATTCAGAGGAGGGTGACAAGGATGATCAGGGGGCTGGAAACCAAGCTTTATGAGGAAAGGCTGAAGGAACTGGGTATGTTTAGCCTTGAGAAGACTGAGGGGTGATATGATAGCAGTTTTCAAACATTGAAAAGGCTGTCATACAGAGAAGGGGCAAGATCTGTTCTCGATCATCCCAGAGTGCAGGACACGCAACAATGGGCTCAAGTTAAAGGGAACCAAATTTTGTTTGAATATCAAGAAAAATTTCCTAACTGTTAGAGCAGTACGACAGTGGAACCAGTTACTCTCCAACACTGGAGGCATTTTAGAAAAACTTAGATAATCACCTGACAGATATGCTTTGATTGTATTCCTGCATTGAACAATGGGGTTGGACTTGATGGCCTTGTAGGCTCCTTCCAAACTTCACTTTTCTATGATTCTTTGGGCTGCAGATTTCCCAGAATGCCCTACCCCACCATGGCCACTGGGATTTGTAATCCGAAAATTAACTTTTCCTATCTCTGGCATACTCTCCGTCACAAATTGCCCTGGTAACCAAAGAGGTGGAAAGTCCTTAAAGGATATGATATAGTTTTGCACATAGACTGATCATAATTTCCAGATGTTATTGATCTTTTTATTTTTCTTTCTTTTCTCTCTTTTCTCTTCCTTCCTTCAAACCAGGGGCCTTCAGGATGAACCCTCAGCAGGTGATCGTAACCCAGCCACAAGTTGTGGTTGTCCAGCGACAGCAAAGCCAGTGGCAGACGGACATCTGTGACTGCTTCAGCGACTGTGGTGTATGTACGTGTCCAGCAAATATTGGTGTTTCAGACTTGGGTAGCATCTCTTTGACAGTGTCAAGTTCATACTGAAGCCCACAGTGGCCTTCAGGATGAACCCTCAGCAGGTGATCGTAACCCAGCCACAAGTTGTGGTTGTCCAGCGACAGCAAAGCCAGTGGCAGACGGACATCTGTGACTGCTTCAGCGACTGTGGTGTATGTACGTGTCCAGCAAATATTGGTGTTTCAGACTTGGGTAGCATCTCTTTGACAGTGTCAAGTTCATACTGAAGCCCACCGCTTTTGCAGACCAGAAACTTTTCATAATGGAAATAACGCCTCACTGTTGTTTGAATTACCCATGTTTACTAAGGGAAGGGCTTCCCTGTATCGAGAACAGCAGGATCGGTAGGAAGACTGCACACACATGCCTTATGTGTATTACAAACAAATTCTAGCTATGTAGTTATGTAATGTGTCCTTCCTCCCCAAGGTGTGCCTCGTTTAGCTACTAAATAATGGCAGATGCCTGTGCCATTTTCTTCATCATATTGACTCAGAGCTAACACAAACCATTGTGTGTGTTTTTTATTATTATTATTCAGTTCTCTGTTTGTTTGGTCTTCTGTAGACAGCTAGGAGGGCTTCAAAAAAGAACAAACTTTAGATTAATCAAAGTTCTGTGATAATTATTGCCACTAGAACTTAAGATTTCTCAGAAGAAATGAGGCTTATATAAAAAATTTTGAGGTTATTTATGTTTATTCTAGAATGTTAATTAGGGATTGAGATTTTTTAATAAAAGGAGGTTAGGAAGTAGTCCTACAGAGGAAGGGCAGGATCTGTTCTCGGCCATCCCCAGAGGGCAGGACACGCAACAATGGGCCCAAGTTACAGGAAACCAGACTTATCATGAATATCAGTGAAAACGTCCTGTTAGAGCAGTACGACAGTGGAACCTATGACCTCAAGAGGTGGTGAGTGCTTCAAAACTAGAGGCATTCAAGAGAAACTTGGATAACCCCCTGGCAGATATCCTTTGATGTGTATTCCTGCATCGAGCAGGGGGCTGGACTTGATGGCCTTATAGGTCCCTTCCAATTACACTATTCTATGATTTTTTGAGCAGGGGGGTCAAAAACACTCATACTTTGTACAATGTTTTTCTGTTTTACATTTAACTAAGCCATCTCCCGCAGAGGCTTTTAACGCTCTGCCCTGCCTCTGTCTAGGTCTTTGTGGATTTTTTTTCTATCCATGTTTGGGATGTCAAGTGGCTTCAGATATGGGTGAATGCTGCCTTTGTGGTACATCTTGGGCGATGAGGTCAGTTTACAGGACAAGATATGGGATCCAGGTAAGTGGCTTATCCAGCTAACTGAAGGGTGGAAAAGGCTTCAAGCTTGTGACATTTACTTGACTCTTAAACTAGAAGCCAAACATTACCAGTTGGAAAAAATACGAAACAGAGGGGAAGAGGCAGCAGGTATAGTTATAACTGTTACTAAGGGATACAGTGATTCTGTACTTATTTTGTGTGCCAGAACTGTGCTCACAGCCCTGTCATATTAAAATCCATAACTGATTCCCAAACATGATGCTGCCTTATTGAGGAAGGAAGGAAGACCACTTTTGTCCTGGCTATTGTTTAAAGAACTGTCAAATGCCCTTACCAACCTAATACATAAATTCTGAAAACTGTAGTACAATGCTAAGAACTTATTTACAGTTATTATACCATCTGAGTAAATATTCAGCCCAGCTCCAGGTTTCGAAGCCTTTAGTGTATTTGGTATATAACTGTATATTCACATATATATACTGTATATGCACAGAATATCCAGTTGTATACCAAATATACACTGCCATTTCAGGATTACAGTGGGGTCTCTACTTAAGAACTTAATCCGTATTGGAAGGTGATTCTCAAGTTGAAAAGTTCTTATGTTGAATCTGCATTTCCCATAGGAATGCATTGAAAACCATTTAATCCGTATCTGCTCTTTTCCGTCCATAGAAACTACAGTGGAACCTCTATTTAAAAACTTAATCCGTTTTGGAATGGTGTTCTTAAGTTGAAACGTTCTTAAGTTGAAGAAAAATTTCCCATAGGAATGGACTGAAAACCAATTAATCCATTCTGGCTGTTTTTTTGTTATGTAGAGGTGCATTCGTACATTGAAGCATTAGTTCCCATAGGAACTAATTAGTTCCCTTAGGAACTAATGCAAAGCTGGTTAATACGTACTCTACCACTAGGGGGAGATTTTTTTTTAACCTAAGATGACCTAAGGTTAAAAAAAGAGCAGGAAAGGTTTTTTTTTCCTGTTCTTATCTTGGATTTCTGTTCTCAAGTAGAAGCAAAATTTAGCAAATGGATATTCACATATATATATATATGCACAGAATATCCAGTTGTATACCAAATATACACTGCCATTGCAGGATTAGTTATATCCCACAATGGCCAGAATTCCATTGCAAATTTACACTTGCATAAGGGAAATCATATAAGTCTTGGTGGAGACTTGGGAAGAGCAAATAACAGTGTTCTTTATGAGACAACTGGATTTAGAACCAAAAGAACATTCAGCTGCTGATATGTAGAGATGTGACAGGAAAGTCAAAAATTGTATGACACCCATAATTGGAACATATAATGTGAGAAATAAGAACGAAGGTAAGATTGCAATTGTGGAACAAGAAACAGAACATTTAAACATTAAGCAATACTTCATGTCAAACAATTAAAGTGGGTAAGATTAGGGAATTTTCAACCAGTTAATTACATGGTGTTTTACTCAAGAAATAACAAACGCAGCAGAAAGACACTGAGAAGTGATAACAGCACAAGCAGTTAGGGGCTGAAATGTCTGAATAATATAATCATCATCATTATAGAACTGCAGAGCTGGAAGGGACCCTATGGATCATCAAGACCCTCTCAAGCAGGCACAGTGGGGAACTGAAATTTACGTATCAGAATGTATGGGACATCTGATTTGAAATTGCATTTGGCCTTTGGGGAAAAAGACATTTCCCATTCTTGGGTTAAAATACACTTCTTGCTTCTTCTCTACTCGATATCATCCCTCCCAAAGTGGCCCCCAACATCAGCAACATGGAATCATCATTATATTCCTTTTTGATTTCTTTTCTATTAATAGGGATCCCTCTGTGGTGATTTCTGTACTGCCCTCTGGTGCCCTGTTTGTTCCCTTTGCCAAATCAAGAGGGACATCAATAGAAGGCGACAATTGGGAATCTTCTAGGAAGGTGAGTGGTTTCTGCTTAAAAGTTCTTTGTGGCTGGAAAAATCAGCGGAAAGTGGTGTTAATGAACTGCCCATGGAATTTAACAGCAGTGCAGAGTAAAAAAAAAAAAATTGAAGCCGCTCCCCACAATCTCTTCATTCTTAGCATGACTCAAGAAAGAAAGTGAAGCTAGGGCAATGCCAGTAAGGGCAGGCTGGATCCTTAATGCCTGGAGGACTTATCCTAAAGATGTTCCAAAAGGCACTTCTTCACTTTGTCCCATGAAAATGAATTGGTGTTGTTTCATCTGTAGAGAAGACCAGAATTGCAGACCTTCCCAAAGCAGTTCACACAAGCATGGCACTTACAACACACAAGCCCTCCATTCACACCCTTCCTATCCTATGAGGGGTGTTTGTTAGTTAAAATATCATAAATCCATTTCTTTACATCCCTACTAGAAAGCAAATCCCATTCAATACAAGGATCTTTGGGATGATTTTTCTTTTCATCAAAATATGTAGCTATTTCTGGAAGAAGGAAAACGTTCATATCTTCCAAATTCTTCTGTGGAATCCTCGTTTCATCCCACCTTCTCTGTCACCTTCTCATCCTCTGGTTCATTTAAGCCTTAGTTCTGATCAGAGATAGTGGCAATTTCATTCCCAAAATGGTTTCCTCTACTCCTGTTCCATCCCATCTTCTCTGTCATCCTCTAGTTCATTTAAGCCTTAGCTCTGACCAGAGATAGTGCCGATTTCATTCCCAAAATGGTTTCCTCTACTCAGTACTCAGCTAAGCTCCAACAAGCACAGGACATGGCCGTTCTGTACAGTACTTCCTTCCCTTTCTGTGTGTGTTGGAAAGAGGATGAGCTGCAAAGTTGGATTTCCTGATGGAATGCATTTTGATCAGGAATCATTGATGTCAGAGAAGTAGCCAACCCCATGTCACTGAGTCCGTGGAGGGGAACTCTCCTCCCCTTGCAAATGGATCCTCATCACACCCACCCCTGTTGAAGAAACCTATTTTATAAGGAATTTCTTCCAGGCTCTTTCCTCCAAACCAAAACATGTTAGTGTCCACCTCTTGAATTAGGACACCAGCTTGATGTCAAGCAGAAGACAAGTTTCCATTATGAAAAACAAAGGAAATGTGCAAATGGTGTTATCTGCAACATCTCGTTGGGTTCCAACTGCTTCCCAATTCCCATTTGTACCAATTTGGCTCAGTTTACCTGGATACCCAGAGACGTACCTATTTTCATAAGAATGTCACAAAAAACTTTGAGAAGAGGCCTCCCGTTCCCCACACACCAAATATCACTCTTTCAAACCTGGTCTTGCATGTGCTGTAGCTATTTAAACGTGACTTGTGGCAAACACCACTAAAAATATAGAGTCTCTTTTTCTGAGACCAATTAAAAACTGGTCAGCCATTATTCCCTGTCCATAATAACCAATAAATTACACAGAACACACAAAAACTTCAGCAACAGGATGGGGCACAATGTAGAAGTGGGAACATGGCACTTGACCAATTTCCTACCCGTAATGTTTCCCTTACAATGTCCTCCTCCCTCTGTACATTTTCTGAGATACTTTTAACCACGTATGGCCAGCTGGTACCCTGCAACTGGAAAATCTGCCTGGGTTAAGTTAAGCACGCCATTACCAGTTCTCCATTCCAAATCACCACCCAGAGATGCTTTGCACATCATCAGACTTTAAGCTATGCACAGGAGCATGTAACGAGTAATCTGGCCCTCAAGACTCACCAGTTATAGTCATTCTCACATTTATACTCCATTATACTGCCAGAAAGCTTACAGCAAAATAGAGAAATAGAATAAATATTTAGAGAACAGAACTTAACAACTTTGCTATGAAAGTTTACTTCATTCTGAATGATGCTTCTCTTCTTTTCTCCCCAGATTTTTCTCTCAGAAATGTCTGTCCTGGAAATTTGATGAATCATTATCAGGAGTTGAAATCTTAACTCATATTAATATGCCATTAGCTGATCACAATGAATGTGTTGACTGAAGATTTGCCTTGCTAAGCATAATCTTGAACGCAGTATACATCACAGCTGTATAGCACAGCACTTTTTTCTCAGTTGCTTGCATTTGTATAGTCCCAAAGCAAGATTGTCATTTATTTGTAGCGTGCCTTTCATCTAGCCCAGCCTCAAGAGCGTAATATTCACACTAAGAATATAATTGTGTAGACAAATCATTCTCATCACCACCCAAATATCTTATATGCAGAGTGAAATCTGAAGCAGTAATGCAATAGTCTTTGTCACTGTATTGGGCTATGGATATTAATTTAGCCCAATAAAGAGTTTTGAGGATCTTCTAAGCATAAAATCTATTCAGACTGGCTAGGTAAATGAAGTTTTTTTTTTCTTTAACCGGTCTCTCCTAAAATCTGATCATTTTGTATGAGTAATAGCTACATGTTTGAATTTTACTATCCGCTTTTGCCTGTTATTCAAAGATTTAAATAAACTGTGGGCTCATAATGCACAAATGGGAAACATTCTCCATCAACATTCTCATGGGGAAAGGAGGAAACAAGAGAGTAAATTAACTCTCCTTTTCTTTGTAGTGCCCATGAAGATATACAAATGGGAAGGAACTGTGCAAAGCTTAGTTATTTTCAAAAGAGACTCAGTCTGCTGATCGGAATACATCAATTGTAATATCAGATTTATGCAACATGAAAATCCTTGTGAATTCTGAAAGAAGTATTTTTGCATACTTACATTGAGTAATTTAGGGAATTATAGTATTATCTTCATTCATTATGGGAGTGTGAAGAAGCACACCACAAGACATTAAAGCCTTGTCCACCTACCCCTGGTAGGATGAAAGTTATGCATCACACCCAAAAAGAGGTAACAGAAATAATATTTAAATAAAGATAAAACATCCTAGCAAAGAAGGCTGTCATCAGGTAAGCTGTGTGGCCTTCCTGGGACTGTTGACCCAGTGCTATTTGAAAGTGACTAACTTCTACATTACTGGTTTCCCTTCTTGTGACTGTCTCCCTGTAGCACAGCCTTGGATCAAACCGCCTGTAAACAGAGGGAAACAAATACACCTCAGCCTATAACCATCTTTCTCCCCCTTTTTTATGACTTCAAACATTCAATGCCCAGCATATTTTTCTAGAGTGCTTCCATGACATCTTGCCAAGGTTCCCTCTAAGGTGTGTGCATGTGACTGCAGGGCTCCTCCTCCTCCATGCACCAACAATGACCGTTTTCAGCCCCTTTGATTCCAGTCATGATGGAACCTCACATAGGGGGCAGGGGGCGGAGTCACATGTGTGAGGGGCAAAGCCCCACCCAGAAGGGCTGCAAATTAGATGGAATGTTGCGCCTTGCCAAGAATTATAGGCAGTTCTTGCTGCAGTCAAATTACTGGACTTGTTTCCTGAATATGGAGATAGCCCATAAATAACCTTATGTTGTTTATGTAGCTTAGAATAAATTTCAAAAAACATAAATTTAATATGTAAAAGCCTATTAGCATGTTGACATTTTAGGAAGGGCTAAATTGCAACAAAGAGTCCAGGTGTTTGATTAAGTCCAACCCCAGCTTTATTGGAACAACCAGAGCAAAGGAGACCATGGCACCTTAATTTTCACAACACATAAATACTCACAACGCTAGAAAGCAACTGAAATTTTAATATAAAACCTTAACACGCCTTTACACTCTGCTCGGTTAGTTTTACTTTATAGCTTAACACCTCTTATGATGTTCTACTGTACCTTTAAGAGCAACCTTTAGGAGTTTTAATACAAGTCGTGGTGTGAGCCCGAATTTCAATTTCTTATGTTTATTTCACCTTTTTACAACAACAACCAAGAGTCTTTTCTACAGAAAGGAACAGAATGGTGGTTTACTGAGCCATCTGAGCCTCCATAGCTTGTGCTGTCCATTCTGGAGCAGTCTGACTAATCTTCTCCAAAAGATTGTTAACTTGGAAGCAAAGTGACTGAATCTGTTTGTCCCATGTTGGTAAGGCTTCTCGAGCTGAAAAACAAAATGCAGACAATGGTAGAACTCATCCTTACAGTCCTAGACTTTTTCAGCTAAATTTCTCTTGATGTTTATGATAAGCACAAGCCAATTTTTGTTATGAGGTCTGTGTTTCCAGATTTAATAGAATGTAAAAATCCACACAATTGCATAGAAAGCCCATACACTACTGCCATCTGGGGACCAAAACAAGAATAATATTGTCTTTAACGGTAACAGTACTGTAGGTTAAAATACACCGGTTATCTTTTAGCAGCAGCTTGTAAACAGTTAAAAATCTGAAGCTCCTTTAAACATATACTTCAACTACGGTGAGAAAAAAAAGAGCAAAAAGTTAGTCAAACTTACTTTCAAAGTGAACTATTCCATCTATCTGATCAATAAATCCATTCATGCGACCCTCTGTTATCATTTGAGAGGCTATCTTCTCTGCCTGAAAGATTAAAAAAAAAAACAAACAGGAAAGTATCCTATTCATTATTATTTCCTTTAAAAATGAGGTAACATTTCATGTGTGTACACAATGTATCTGTGACATTGAGGATTTATGCAGACCAACTCATTCATCCAAAATCTTCACATGTTCTCACTATACAAATACAAATGAGACCACAGATTAGTCTGTGGATGAGCCTGCATAGCACAGTAACCTCAACCATAACTTAAAGATCAGAGGGACTGTGCAAGATTCAAGGTATACACAGATTCAGAACTGATGGCATGACTTTTTGATGGAACTTACAAGTGAGTCTAAGTGGACAGGATTATCAGAATTATGTACTCTAATAAAGGGCTGGCAACTTGTAGCTAACACAAACAATGGGGAAAGATAATAGCAGTCACAGTCCAACAGCTCAACAGCACAAAGGAACAATTGACTAAAGTTGACGTACCTTGGCTGCAGGAATCTCTAATAACGCTCCAAGTTCTTCAAAGGTAATATTGTTATACAGCTTGCTTGCAGATAGCAAATTATGTTCAATGACAGCTCTGTCCAAAATACTGGAACCTGAAGAAGAAACATTAGAAGTCTGAAATACAAAATATTATTAGCTACAAGTGAAACATGTAAGGAAACAGGTTGTATGCAACCTACAACCTATCCTTCTTTTAGCATTAAAGCTTTACAACTGAGACTAACCACATAGATAGCTTGATAATGTAACTACTGTATATGATTATAAATAGTTGAAAGCACATCCAAAAAACAAGATAGGCACCTAAACTTATTAGTCATTAACAATACTTTTGTACCTTGAGTAACCACAGCTTCTTATATGAAAGTTGACCTAAATAGTGGAATTTGTTTCTCAATAAAATAGCAACATATAGTGCAATTGTTCTAAGAGTTACACATGAAAGAAGCTAGGCTACATCATAACCAAATGTTTCAGTACATACTGTTATGAAGCATTACGGTAACATTACTACAAAAACACCACAGTACAGTGGTGCCCTGCTTGACAATTACCCCGTTTAACAATGAATCTGCTTTACGATGGGTTGTTTGCAATTGCAAAATGATGTTTCAATGGGTTTTTTCCGTTTGGTGATCGGTTCCCTGCTTTGGGAACCGATTTTTCACTTAACAACGATCAAAAACAGCTGATCGTCGGGTTTCAAAATGGCTCCCCACTGTGCTTTAGGACGGATTCATCGCATTATAGGCACCGGAAAATGGCCGCCCTATGGAGGATCTTCGCTGGACGCTGAGGTATTTCGCCCATTGGAACGCACTGAACCGGTATTCAATGCATTTCAATGGGCTTTTTCATTTCGCTTGATGAGGATTTCGCTTAACAGCGATTTGAACGGAACAAATTATCCTCATCAAGAGAGGCACCACTGTACAGTCATGCTCAACTGATGATGGAGGATTCTGAAAGGAACAACATTTGAGCAGCTCTAATCCCAGAGCAGGGTACACCCACAGTTGGAGACATGAGTACCGTCAGCCGTCGTCGCTTTTTGGTGTGGCATGAGCATTGCAGCGAATTCTTGCAATTGGTTCCCTCTGATAATTCTGTCTAGATACATCTTCTCCAAAATCCCATAGGCGGCGAGCTGTTGACACCTTTCATCCTTGAAAAGAGTGGCTAGCATACGGGAGCGTTGCTGTCCTGGAAAAAAGTAAGAACAGGGTCAACTGGCCCATGTCTAGTCAGCGTGCTTTGCATCTCTAATGATCTACAAGACCCATACTAACTTCTCTTCTTGACAGTTGATTTATGGTAAATTGTATCCAGTTCCTAAGAAGCGAACTACCCATTCCTGCTGATGGGCAGAAATGTCTGTGCCTACTTTCATCAGCAGTAATACTTCACTGATTCAGAAATGGAGGGTTGAACATGCTTCTTCCTCTGGCAGTGGAAGAATTACATACATTGAAAATCAGACAAAATCTTGCCGAAGAGCTGTGACTACAAATCTGATTATAACTGCTGCTGAAACAACCTTGAAGATCCTCCTTCTGCATTTCCTGTATTCCCCTAGACTTGTGTTCCCTCTGCTCCTCCTCACTTCTCTTGATGTTACTGGCTAATATGCTCCAATACCAATGACAGTGAATACGGCTAATTGCTAAGAGAGACAGTATGAAGACCTATGAACCACTTTTATTAAACTGACCTACATGATTGCTACTAATACTCTCAGAATCTATGGACTATACCTTGTAGATGGGTATTTACATGAGAGCACCCGAAAATGTTCTACAGAAACAACAAAAGCGTTCTGCTTAGGGATGCAAATTCTAGGTTGCTGTTCCTCCCAGATGATCAACATCAATGACCATAACAGGGATCTGCAGAGGTATTATTTCAACTGAAAAAGAGTTTTGAGGACAAAAACCAAGCAAACTCTTTACTGTTGTTGCAGTTTTATTTGCTGTAGTTCATATATGCAACACAGCATTTTTTAAAGAAAGGGTTAATGCTTTCACATCCCTATTAAATCTGGTTATAGTATACAAAATGCTGTAACTTTTCCCCTGCCCTTTTGATATCTAATAATAAGAATTATTAAATGCAAAGCATTTCTTTTTGATAGGGGATGGAGGATCCATGGTGGAGGGCCACCAGCTTCTAGGACCTTGCACTTCATGTCAAGCATGGCAGAAACTTTACTACCCTCCAGATTTTCCACTACTCTTCCTCCATTGTTCTGGCTTTTTAGAAGTTTCCTTCCCATTAACATTAACATGAAAGTATGTCAGCTCCAGGGCTAGTATCCTTTTTTGCTCTTGTCTGAAGGAAACAAAATGTTTGGAATCTTATAAATCCAAGGCCTCGATCAAACTGACCTGACACATCCTTCTTTTCCCTTTGCACATCTATAGACACAATAAAGCAGTTCTGCTTACAGGGTCTTCTGCACCTCCCATTAAGAAGGTGGCCTGCAGTACTTATTCAGTGTCCAGAGAATTGTAGTCCAAGGTGAATAAACTTTAGCCTAAGGCTGGCAACCATTATTTTGTAACAAATATCATTAACCAGCCTTTCCCCCAAATAAATGTGTGCTATATCAACAAATTAAATTCTCATGGTAGAATCCCGTAATCATTAATCACTTAGGTGCCTGTGAATTACACCTTAATATCTGTATGTACTCAAATCGATTCCTACACATGTTCTGAGCTTTATGGAAGCTGGGTTTTATGAACAGACCTTCCCACACCAGTATCACCATATGTGTCACCCCACATTTTTTAAATGGCTTTACCTGCTGATGCTAAAATTGTACAATGCAAGGCATGTTTCAAAGCTTCTAGTCTTTCACTTTCATGGACTATACTCTTATATGAAAGCTCATTATACCGCTGAGCAGCTTCAATGAATTTCCTTCGGTAGTCAAGAACACGTGCGTAGCACACCTGAAACAGGAAAAAGCAGCACAACTAAATACAAGTAAACCAATATCCTGTTTCCAAGTGAAACTGAAGTTGTGGAAGTGATCACAGCTATTTGGTGAGGTGCCTGTTGCATGCCATATAACAAGCACCTCACAATGCTTCCATTACTTTAACTCCATGCTCTGTTATCCTAACAAGATAATGGTGGCAAATAGCATTTTAAGACTTCCTGAGTAGCATTTAAATAACACTTTAAACCATCAACCAATATGTGCCATATTTTTAAACTAAAATACAGTAATGTTTAACTGATCATGTCTGATCTTCATCCAGTTGACTCTGCTCTAAAATATTGAAGTCTTTAGAATTAGGGTTTAACAAATGTTAATCTACAAACCAAATCTGGCTCAGAATTTGGGGACACTGCAACAACCACACCATATAATAACATGCCAGCTCAGAGGGGTCTGAAGGGAACAGAGACTATCAATGTGGCCCTTCTGAGTTTGGGCCTCTCAGCACCACCACTAGCAAAATAAAAGGCTCTGAAGAAAAATACTGTCAGATGCTTTGATTGGGAGGGTACTAGGCACCAGACACCTGGGTGGTCTAATCTTATTATGATCTAACCAAACTTTGCATTTGGCATAGAAATCTAATCTACACTTCAGGAGATTATACCCTATATCATATTTGCACTCAGAAATAATTAATGACATCGTACATTAGACATTCTCCACTATATTGGCCAGAATCCCCTTCATGGATTGCTGCCTTTTAACAGAAATAATTAATGACATCGTACATAAGACATTCTCCTATATATTGGCCAGAATCCTACTGATGTTAACACAAGGCTCCTGCAACGTCCTTGGTTAATTGCTGCTAACTGAGAAGGTGCTAGGGCACATCTCAGTTGCACAATGAAATACATGATGGGGCATGCCTTGGCAGTTTGGCAATTAGCCTCAACAAGTCAAGCAAACCTTATAAACATGTTAATCAGACTCTGGTTATTTTCTTCCATCTAAAATAAGAAAATAAGAATTTCACCTTATAATGGATTTGTAGCTGCTCATTGGTAGATTCATTCTGAAGAAGAGATGCCCTGTTGATATATGCCTCAGCTTGAACAGGATCATCATCCTCCAGATAGAGTCGAGCAATTTTCAGATAGGTCTCCAATTTATAGTCCACATTGTATTGCCTTGAATGGGTCAGAACAATATGTGAAATACTTCAACTTCTATTTCCATTTATTCCAATTCTTCCACATAATTGTGTCTGTCTGTCTATCTATCTATGGAACAAGACAGCTAAAATTCACCTGTATAATAAAGTTTAGCACTAAATGAAAGGAAGGATGATCTGTTTTTCTATGCTGAAATCTTGTTGCTCAATGTAGCAAGTCACAAGTACAGCAGGCCCACTGAAACTATGGGGAGCTGGTAAGCCAACTCTTCCATGGCTTTCACTTATACAATGTCCTTGGCCCTTGTTGTGGTTTTCCCTGTAATTGCTCCAGAGTTACTGTTGACCCAATAAGTTAATGACATCCAAAAAGTCTACAGTAATCTCAAGACTGTGACTTCTGTCATAGGGTTAATCTATCTCACATCTCTTCTTCTTCTTCTCTTGAGGCCTTCACGTTCTGCCAGTGTGTGTTCATTCCCAGAGAGGCTGAATAATCCCAGTGTAATCGTTTTAGCCTCTAGCAGGAGTTAAGGCTTGATTTGATTTACATCCCAATTACTGTTTGGTGGGTCCACAGCAGCTGCAAGCCTTCTGTTAAAGTTACACAACATCAAAATTTCTAGATTTGCTGGCAAGGAATTCTGAGAATTCTTGATCTGACTATTCCCCCCCCCCCAATGCCAACCAAAGTCAGTTTTTTTGCTGCTAATTACCGGCTAATATTTTTATTTATTTATTTATTTATTTATTTGATTTGATTTATATCCCGCCCATCTGGTATATTTATATCACTCTGAGCGGCTAACAACAACGTATATACAATTAAGATAATATAAATCCATAAACATCAATTTTTAACAAAACATACCAAAAATAATAAATGATAGATAGACAAGAGAGAGAAAGTTAAATTAAATGCTGGCAGGAGGGAAGGCCTGGATGTAAAGCCCAGAACACAGAGTTCTGACTTGAGTCCTCTGAAGATGCCGGCCACAGAGACTGGTGAAACGTTAGGAAGAACAAACTTCAGAACACGGCCAAATTCTCTTGAGGCCTTCACGTTCTGCCAGTGTGTGTTCATTCCCAGAGAGGCTGAATAATCCCAGTGTAATCGTTTTAGCCTCTAGCAGGAGTTAAGGCTTGATTTGATTTACATCCCAATTACTGTTTGGTGGGTCCACAGCAGCTGCAAGCCTTCTGTTAAAGTTACACAACATCAAAATTTCTAGATTTGCTGGCAAGGAATTCTGAGAATTCTTGATCTGACTATCCCCCCCAATGCCAACCAATGTCAGTTTTTTCACTGCTAATTACTGGCTAATACTTTTTCCACACCAGTGGAAATTTATCAGTTCTTCCATTATTTTTATACGGAAACGAATGGGCAGCCAATGCAATCTGGTCAGTGTAGGAGAAATGTGATGGCATTTTCTCCCTCCAGTAAGGAGTCTAATACTTTTTCCACACCAGTGCAAATTTATCAGTTCTTCCATTATTTTTATAGGTTCAACCATCTGGCCTAGCTTTTGCTCTGCCAGAGCTGGTATTACATCTGGCAATCTGCAGATGCCATGAGGATTACACTGACACTTAAATGATGGCCCTTAAATTCTGCACTTTGACAAATAAGACACTGGCCTTCATATATTGTGCAGAAGGAAAGCTACGATGGAAAGCAAATGTTGCTGAGTCATAAAGAGGGCACAATAGTTTTAAAAGCTTTTAAAGGTATTTTGTTAACTGTAATTAACAAGGATTTCACTAGGTAATCATTTGCACTGTTGAGAAAAGTGAATAATTTGGCTATTATGAAAACAAAAATATAAATGTCCTTAATATCACTGTGAATTATATCAGGAGTCAAAAATGTTCATTCAGTGTTTGTATTCTTTTCATAAGAAATGGAAGACACATATTTGAAAATATTTTTTTAGCCTCACTCTTCTTAATCATTCCAACACATGTAGAATTAATCCCTAAAGTTGCAATTTTAAATGATTTCTCACAAGACTGAGGGTGGGGAAGGGGGAAAGGATTGATGAACATTTGTGCTTCTTCATGGCTCATGAAACCTGGAGCACTGAAATGTGAAAGACTGGCATGTGCACTGCTTGATGTTTCCATCATTAAAAGATCTTGTTAAAAAGTAGGGGAAAGCGCCCACACATTAGTTTGACAAAGCAGAAATCTCTGGATCTTTGCCACAGAATAAAATGCACGCTACTGTATACTGAAGAGCACAGAACCAGAATACATAAAAATGAAACATTTATACAGAAAGAAATTCAATGTACCAACAAGGGGGAAAAACAGCTTTTCAAGTAAGAGTATTTACTTTTGTCCTGTTTCCAAAGGAATCCCCACTAACACTTGTGCTGCATTCCTCCAGTCTTCTTCCTTTTCATATATTGATGCAAGATGCTGTCTTATCGAGGCAACCTGCAGGTATTGGGGCAAGGTAGAAACACACGGAATAAAAAATAGTGGAACAAACTTAATCTAATATAAAAGTGATCCACTTTCCAATACCCTAGTATGCTCTGCTTCCTTTCTGCCCTCCTCCCCCCATAAGCTCTTGATTTACATGACCCAAATGATATATTTATATACACAATATCGTCAAAAGAAATTACTTTCTCTACTCTTTGCAAGTAATGACTTTGTTCTATCAGAACTCAATGTATTAAATATGAGTGATAAGAAAATATTTAACAACCAAGTAAATGTTAGCTTTATTTACACAAGATGCTTCAAGATGAAGCCATACAGTGGAAACAGGCAACAAGAAGTCCAGAATAAAGAGTTTCAGCAAGAATTTGTCTAAATGAGTTTAAAAGTCCCACTTGATGCTTGTATAGATCTAGAAAAAAGCCACCAGGCTGGCTTTTTAGAAACCAGATTTGATACGTAATATCTTCTTCTTACCTGCTCCTCAAATGAAATAACACGAGGCTGGATCTTTTCCAAAGTGAAGTGGTAGATTTCTTTGGCTGTACCATCAGGAAGACTTGGTAAATGTGTACAGAAGTCTGTCAGCAACTGCCGTGAAATAACTAAACTGACATTTTCATTCACCACTGGTTAAGACACACAAGGGAAAAACAAAAACAAAACATTATTTTAATCAATATTCAGTCTCAACCACTGGTCTTACAAACAACTAAACAACAGTTTCCAACTCAAACGTAGAGGCAATGGTTACTAAATGCTTGGGCTTAATGTCTGTTCTGGCTCATTATCAGATTTCAACTTTGCTGCCATGCTTTCATAATCAAATGTGTCAAGTAGCATTATGAGTAAGATTCACCATCATCAGACAAGAAATACAATTAACTACATGGACAGGTTAAATGCCACAAGAGCAGGGAAAACAGCAAGCTGTTCTAATGTTGGCAAAAGCCATTGAAAGGGCTACAACAACATCGTTTCCCACAACACAGTTTTCCATAACACCTACTTACCACAAGAGCAGGGAAAACAGGAAGCTGTTCTAATGTTGGCAAAAGCCATTCAAAGGGCTACAACAACGTTTTCCACAACACAGTTTTCCATAACACCTACTTTGTAGTTTTAAATACAGAGACAGAATAAACATATAAATCTCTTAAGTTTATAAATGTCTAATACAAAATGGTTGAAGAAATTTATTTCCAGTTATGCATATTTAAGACTGCAACTTTGAAGTATTAGTGAAGTTTGCTTTCATAGAATACATTTGCAAGGCCAGCTATATATTTTCAACTTTTCTCTAACCAGAATAGAACTCTTACAAACATATCATGCAACACGTAAAAATGTTGTTTTAACTCACTTGCTTCTACAAAGGCTTTTAAGGCTTCTAACTGTTCCGCTCCTGACAGCTGAATAGCTTTTTCCAATATCTGACGATACCTGCCAGAAAAATTTAAAAGTCAGTCACATGACTTTTATATATAATAATTAAAACAGGGTACATTTATGAAATCATTTTTAAATGTAGACATAGACAGAGCAACATTCAGCATACAGAGAGAGCTTGCAAAGTGAATGAAGAATGCTACTCTTTTGTAAACTGTTTTAGAATGCATATATTTTAAATATCTACAACATACACACAAATTCTACTTGAATTGAAGCCTCTAGGACGAAAGCTGGTGGCAATTAATTGGTCAGTCGTAAAAATTATAAGATACATACAGTCAACCCTCGACTTACGAACGGCCCTACATATGGACTTTTCGATTTACGAACAGCTCCGTTGGCAAAAATTGGCATCGACTTGCGAATGGAGCTCGACCTACGAACGAGGTTGAGGCTCTGTTCGCAAGTCAATGCCATTTTTTGCCAACGGAGCTGTTCATAAATGGCTCCCTGCAAAAAGGCAGGGAGAAAGGGAGGAAATTTGATTTTCCCACCCTTTCTCCCTGCCTTTTTGCCTTCGGAGCTCTCAAAGGGTGTTCCGCCCAACATCAGAGGAAGCCCTTTGGGAGCTCCGAAGGCGCCCATCGCGGTGGCGGGGACCCCCAGGGAGGTCTCCCATGGTGTCAGGCAAGCCCTTGGAGACCTCCCTGGGGCTCCCTGCCACCACGATCATCACCTTCAGAGGTCTCAAAGGGCTTCCCCCCCCTGACATCGGAGGAAGCCCTTTGAGACCTCCAAAGCCAAAAGGGCAGGGAGAAAGGGCTGGAAATTCGAATTTCCACCCCTTTCCCTCTGCGTTCTTGCCTTTTGAAATGCTGGAATGGATTAATTCCATTCCCATGCATTTCAATGGGAAATGGTACTTCGACTTATGAACTTTTCGACGTACGAACATCGTTCCAATACGGATTAAGTTCGTAAGTCGAGGTACCACTGTAAATTTGTTTTATGAAAAGGTTATCATTACCTAGTTTTCTGAAGTCACTATAAACTCCCATCTTCCAACTGAGATACACTATACAGTCAATTTAAAAGCACCAGCCAATAAACATTAGGAACAAGCAGGGTACTGAAATTAGAATTTTCCACCATTTACAACCTACAGTACTTGCCTACAGAATGGCACCATTGAAGGTCTCCCTAGCTATCTGACACAAATGAAATCAGTATAATTTCTTGTACCAAACCAAAAGTAGAGAAGTGAATGTTCACAACATTCAAGTATAGCTGCAATGGGAACCAATTCCTAAAGTCAGGGTCAATTGAACACACTGCTAACATAGCAGCAAACAGGATTCCCTTCATATTTTGTCTCTGTTGCCTTCAAACACATTCATTCTTTACCCCTTTCTGCCTCATTCAACAGAAAATACAGTACAGTACTAAGCAATGTGCAGGAGTTGGACTCTTTACTCATAATGTTGTTGTTAAGTCGTGTCCGACTCTTCGTGACACCGTGAAACAGAGCACGCCAGGCCCTGATGCCTTCCACTGCCTCCCGGAGTTTGGTCAAATTCATCTTGGTAGCTTCGATGACACTGTCCAGCCATCTCATCCTCTGTCATCCCCTTCTCCTCTTGCCTTCACATTATCTTGCAGATAATACCACTTATCATTTCACTGTTACGGTATATCTAGAACTGAGCAGTATCTAGCTTACGTTATTGACCAGCAGGACCTCAGGTCTGGTCAACAAACACAAGAACATGTCTATAAGAGGAATAAGAGATGCCATTTTTAAGCAATCTCCCATTTACACAGAATAAAATTCTGTACTTTTAAAGTCTATAGTTAGAAACTACAGCTTTGGGGGGGAAAATGAGCTCCTCGCCTGAAGACTGGAGTCAAATACCTCAAGAGTTCAAGCATTTTAATAGCTGAATGTTTAGACAAAACCTTGCCACAGTGGATCAAACAGTTCATAAGCAATCCCAGCAAATTACTTATCAATCTCTACCTGAGTGCGGAAGGCCAATTACAGCTGATGTTGTTGTTGTTGTTCAGTCGTTTAGTCGTGTCCGATTCTTCGTGACCCCATGGACCAGAGCACGCCAGGCCCTCCTATCTTCCACCGCCTCCCGGAGTTGTGTCAAATTCATGTTGGTTGCTTCGATGACACTGTCCAACCATCTCATCCTCGGTCGTCCCCTTCTCCTCTTGCCTTCACACTTTCCCAACATCAAAGTCTTTTCCAAGGAGTCTTCTCTTCTCATGAGATGGCCAAAGTACTGGAGCCTCAGCTTCAGGATCTGTCCTTCCAATGAGCACTCGGGGTTGATTTCCTTTAGAATTGATAGGTTTGTTCTCCTTGCAGTCCAGGGAACTCTCAAGAGTCTCCTCCAGCACCACAATTCAAAGGCATCAATTCTTCGGCAGTCAACTTTCTTTATGGTCCAGCTCTCACTTCCATACAACACTACAGGAAAAACCATAGCTTTGACTATTCGGACTTTTGTTGGCAAGGTGATGTCTCTGCTTTTTAAGATGCTGTCAAGGTTTGTCATTGCTTTCCTCCCAAGAAGCAGGCGTCTTTTAATTTCGGGGCTGCTGTCTCCATCTGCAGTGATCATGGAGCCCAAGAAAGTAAAATCTGTCACTGCCTCCATATCTTCCCCTTCTATTTCCCAGGAGGTGATGGGACCAGTGGCCATGATCTTAGTTTTTTTGATGTTGAGTTTCAGACCGTTTTTTGCACTCTCGTCTTTCACCCTCATTACAAGGTTCTTTAGTTCCTCCTCACTTTCCGCCATCAGAGTGGTATCATCTGCATATCGGAGGTTGTTGATATTTCTTCCGGCAATCTTAATTCCAG